CTTTCTTTCTTTCTTTCTTTCTTTCTTTCTTTCTTTCTTTCTTTCTTTCCCCCTCCTCTCCCTCGTTTCCTTTCCTGTTTCCTTTCTTGCACTCACTTTCCTTCTTTCTGTTTCTTTCGTTCTCTCTCTTCCTCTTTCTTTTGTTTTCTTTCTTCTTCTTTTGTTTTCTTGCCTCTCCTTCCTTCCTCTTTCTTTCTCTTTTCCTTTCTCTCCTTCTCTTTCTTTCGTCTTTTCTTTTTTCTTCCATGGTTTTCTTTCCCGTTTTCTTTCTTTCACTCATTTTCCTTCTTTCCATTTCTTTCACCCTATTCTTCCTCTCTTTCTTTTTCCTTTTCTTGTGTTCTTTCTGCTCCTTCCTTCTTCTCTTTTTCTTTATCTCTCTCTCTTTTTCTCCCTCTTTCTCTCTTTTCCTCCCTCCCTCCCTTCTGCTTTCTCTCTCTGTGTGTGTCTATCTCTCTGTCCCTCTTTCTCTGTCTTTCTCTTTCTCTGTTTATCTCTTTCTCTCTCTCTCTGTTTCTCTCTGTGTGTCTATATATGTTTCTCTCTCTGTTTCTCTCTCTGTTTCTCTCTCTCTCTCTGATTCTCTCTCTCTCTATCTTTCTGTTTCTCTCTCTGCCTCTCTCTCTGTTTTTCTCTCTCTCTGTTTCTCTCTCTCTCTGATTCTCTCTCTCTCTGTTTCTCTCTCTCTGTTTCTCTCTCTGTTTCTCTCTCTGATTCTCTCTCTCCATCTTTCTGTTTCTCTCTCTGCCTCTCTCTCTGTTTTTCTCTCTCTCTGTTTCTCTCTCTCTGATTCTCTCTCTCTGCCTCTCTCTCTGTTTCTCTCTCTCTCTGTTTCTCTCTCTCTCTGATTCTCTCTGATTCTCTCTCTCTCTGATTCTCTCTCTCTGTTTCTCTCTCTGCCTCTCTCTCTGTTTCTCTCTCTCTCTGATTCTCTGTTTCTCTCTCTCTCTGATTCTCTCTCTCTCTGTTTCTCTCTGCCTCTCTCTGTTTCTCCCTCTCTCTGTGTTTCTCTCTCTCTGTTTTCTCTCTGTCTCTGTTTCTCTCTGTTTCTCTTTGTCTCTCTCTCTCTCTTTCTCTCTGTTTCTCTCTCTGTTTCTCTTTGTCTCTCTCTCTCGCTGTGTCTCTCTGTTTCTCTCTCTGTCTNATAGAAACAGAGTAGAATAGAATATATAGAAATAGAATAGAAAAGAATAGAAAATAAAATATAGAAATAGAATAGAATAGAAAATATAGAAATCAAATTAAATAGAATTGAGAAAGAATAGAATATATAGAAATAGAATAGAATTGAGAATTAAATTCGATTAAAATAGAATAGAATATAGAGTAGAATAGAAAGTAAAATATAAAAATAGAATAGAAAAGAATAGAAAATAAAATATAGAAATAGAAAAGAATAGAATAGAATGGAATGGAATATAAAATATAGAAATAGACTAGAAAATAGAATAAAATAAAGTAATGGAGGCATAGAATAATAGCTTTATTGTCAACCTTAAATGCACCCTAATCAGCATACATTCAAATGACATTTTGTTTCCTACAGCATTGGAAGGGTCTCCACCTCCAATACACACTACAGAAACATGACAAAAGAAATAAATATAACATCTGCTTATTTATTTAAATTTATAACCTCCTAGAGGCAAATAGGTAGGAAGTCTTCCCTAAAAGGAGATGAACCCTTTTTTTTAAAGCCCACACCAACAATACAGATAGTCCTCAACTTATGACCACAATGGAGGGCAAAACCTAGCTTGCTAAGTGAGACATTTGTTCAGTGAGCTTTGCTGCATTTTACCACCTTTCTGGCCGCGGTTGCTAAGCGAATCACTGCAGTTGTGAAATTAGCCACAGGGTCGTTAAGTGAATTTGGTTCTCCCATCGTCAGAAGGTCACAAAAAGGGGTGTGTGTGTCACGTGACCTCAGGACATTGTGGCCGTCGTAAATATGAACCAGCTGTCAAGCATCCGAATGCAAATCACGTGACCCCAGGGATGCTGCAATGGTCATAAGTGCGAAAAACGGTCATAAGTCACCCTTTTCAGTGCCATGGCAAATTTGGTCGCTAAACAAACTGTTGTACGTCAAGGATTTGGCAACGCTCAGTCAGATGCCTCCCTGATTCTCTGACGCTAAGGAGGACAGGGAGGCCCAGCATAGTTACAGACAGTCCTCGACTTATGACCCCGATGGAGTCCAAAATTCCCATTGGCAGGCAAAGCAGTCATGAAGTGAGTTTTGCCCCATTTCATGACCCTTAGTTGCTAAGTGAATCGCTGCAGTTGTTAAATTAATAACCCCGTTGTTAAGCGAATCCGGCTTCCCCGCTGACTTTGCTCGTCCGACGGTTGCAACGGGATCACTTCAGCCGTCATAAAGATCCTGAGCCTGTGGTCTGAATGTTGATCACGTGTCCATGAGGTACGCTGTGACGGTCGTAAGTGTGAAAAACGTTCATATCACTTTGCATGGTTGCCAAATGGTGGTTAAATTGAGGACCACCTGTACTTAAAGATTCGGTGGTCGGCAATCCTCCTTTCACAATTACTGGCAATATTGGAGATGTAGCCACATGCCTGGAACATCCCACCCCGTGTGGTGGAGGTGCCCCATCACAAGGAAATATTGGTGTAAAATTCAGAAACGGCTGGAAGAAATTACGGAGCAAAAGATAGAATTGAAACCGGAATCCTTTTTATTAGGAATATTAGAGCCAAAACCGGACAAAACATTGCAATATATAATACTACGTATACTCACTGCAGCTAGGATTGCCTGGAAACAAATTAATATGCCCGCAGACAAAACCATAACTAAAAAGGCCCTCGAATGTGCAGAGATGGACAAAGTGTCCATGGAATTAAAAGAAAAGAGAAGAATCGGATTTCTATAAAATATGGAATAGGATGTATAAGGGGCTAGAAAACAGAAGCCAGAACAGGAAATAGAAGTCTTTGTGTTCCCCCCCCCCCCTAAACTAGCATTGAATAAAAATTAACCAAAGTTAACGAATGACTATCGAACTTAAAACATTGACCACAATGTAAATAAAATGGCGATAGGAACAATTAATATGATTGCAAGTCTTAGTACAACTGTTATTTCACTTATTCACAAAAGTTAGAATTGAGAGGAAGGCAGTGTGGAATAGAGAATTGCAAAGTCTGAAAGCTGTATAACTTTTATATTGTTACGTTTGTGTTGTTTTTTGTGTGTGTCTGTGTGTTTTGTTTTTTAAAGGTTAAAAAGGTTCAATAAAAATTATTTTAAAAAATGGTGGCAAGCTGAGGACTGCCTGTACTTAAAGATTCGGTTGTGGGCAGTCCTCGTTTCACAATCGCTGGAAAATCGGTCACTAAGTGATACTATGGGAAATAGGTGGCTATTTCAAATTCATATCCCTATCCCGCTGCGGCCATTAAAAGAAACAATCACGATTTGCAACTTCCTTCTGCCTGCCTTGTTGCCACTGTCCTTTTCACTCCTTGCTCAATTTGCTTCTCTTGGCTTCGTTTAGCGCCCGATTTCTGCGCGATGCCTCCCCTCCGGGGTCTCTGGCCAGCTTCGAGGATCTCTTCCCCCGTTACACCAGCCTGCGCCTGGGTCACTTCCACGATCAGGTCGCCCAGCTGGATCCCCGCTTGCTAAAAGACGCTCTGGAGAAAGAACAGGCTCGGCGGAAAGTGAGTTGGACTCGGGGACCCGCCGGCGGGGTGGGGGTTGCAAAGGGGGGCGTGGGTAAGCAAGGCCATGGTGCCTTGAACCAGGCGCCTTCCTAACTGGGCTTGAGAATGCTAGTTTGGGTCGCCTTGTTTGTCCTAAAAACCTAACCCCCTGAGGCAGGATGTCCAATTTTGGCAACTTTTTAAGACCGACAAGATATATTACACTTACTGCATACCCACCGTCTATTAAGAAAGTCACCCTATGGGGCTGGCTGGGGAATTCTGGGAGTTGAAGTCCACAAGTTTTTAAAGTTGCCAAGGTTGGAGACCCCTGATTTAAGTTTATGGACTTCAACCCCCAGAATTCCAGAGCCATCTCTTTTTCCCCCCACTTTGCTGAAGTCAAGATATATTACGCTTACTGCATCCCCACCGTCTATTAAGAAAGTTACCCTACGTGGCTGACTGGGGAATTCTGGGAATTGAAGTCCACAAATCTTAAAGTTGGAGACCTCTGATTTAAGACTTTTGGACTTCAACTCCCAGAATTCCCCAGCCAGCTCTTTTTTTTTTCCTCACTTTGCTGAAGTCAAAGATATATTACGCTTACTGCATCCCCACCGTCTATTAAGAAAGTTACCCTACGTGGCTGGCTGGGGAATTCTGGAAGTCCACAAGTCTTCAAGTGGCCAAGGTTGGAGACTCCCGATTTGTGGGCTTCAACTCCCAGAATTCCCCAGCCAGCTCTCTTCTTTTCCCTTCACTTTGCTGAAGTCAAAGATATATTACATATACTGCATCCCCACCGTCTATTAAGAAAGTTACCCTACGTGGCTGGCTGGGGAATTCTGGGAGTTGAAGTCCACAGCTCTTAAGAGTTGCCAAGGTTGGCACTCCTACCCTAAAGTTTTTTTTCCCAGGTGGGGGGTGTGTGTTTGGCAGCGTTGCTGTTGTCTGAACTCTTTCCCTAACTCCTCGCAACAGCGACCGTCTTTTGCATGGGGGTTTCCGCAGACGGAGGCTGAGCCCCCCCCACCCCGGAGAGCCTTCTAAATGGGACGAGCGATTGCCTGGCGTTACCAGTGGGCAGGCCTGGCTTACGGGAGGTCAGGTAGCGTTGGGGCATTAAGCAAAGCTCCTCGGCTCAGCCGTTCGAGTGGCCACTGGTCGTCTTCCCTGTGGTCCTTGTTCACCTAGAACTGGAAGGGACCTTGGAGGCCTTCTAGTCCAGCCCCCTGTTTAGGCAAGAAGCCCTACACCACTTCAGACAGATGGGTATCCAACATCTTCTTAAAAACTCCCAGTGTTGGAGCATTCACAACTTGTGGTGGCGAGTCATTTTAATGGGGAATAGTCCTCACCATCAGGAAATTTCTCCTTAGTTTGAAGTTGCTTCTTCTGGATTAGTTTCCACCCATTGCTTCTTGTTCTGCCCTCAGGTGCCNAGGAGGAATTCCCTTTAAGAAAAAAAAGGAATCCGTGGAACGGCTGGCCACCAGAAACTGAGAGTGGCCTCCATCCCTGGAGGCTTTCAAGGGGAGATGGGACAGCCATCGGTCAGGAATCATGTAGAGTCTCCTGCTTGAGCGGGGGGCTGGACTAGATGACCTCCGAGGTCCCTTCCAGCTCTGTTATTATTCTGTTAATCAGAAATTGTGGGAGCTTCATCCCTGGAGGCTTTCAAGGGGAGATGGGACAGCCATCAGTCAGGAATGGCATAGGGTCTCCTGCTTGAGCAGGGGGGTTGGTCTAGATGACCTCCAGGGTCCCTTCCAAGTATTCTGTTATTCTGAACAGCTTGCCACCAGGAGTTGTGAATGCTCAATCCCTGGAGGCTTTCAAGGGGAGATGGGACAGCCGTTGGTCTGAAATGGTGTAGAGTCTCCTGCTTGAGCAGGGGGCTGGACTAGATGACCTCCGAGGTCCCTTCCAGCTCTGTTATTATTCTGTTATTCAGAAATTGTGGGAGCTTCATCCCTGGAGGCTTTCAACAAGAGACCGGACTGCCCTTTTGTCAGAAATGGCATAGGGTCTCCTGCTTGAGCAGGGGGAGGGGTTGGTCTAGATGACCTCCAGGGTCCCTTCCAAGTATTCTGTTATTCTGAACAGCTTGCCACCAGGAGTTGTGAATGCTCCATCCCTGGAGGCTTTCAGGGGGAGATGGGACAGCCATCGGTCAGAAATGGCGTAGGGGTCTCCTGCTTGGGTGGGGGGTTGGACTAGATGACCTCCGAGGTACCTTCCAGCTCCGTTATTATTCTGTTATTCAGAAATTGTGGGAGCTTCATCCCTGGAGGCTTTCAACAAGAGACCGGACTGCCCTTTTGTCAGAAATGGCGTAGGGGTCTCCTGCTTGAGCAGGGGGAGGGGTTGGTCTAGATGACCTCCGAGGTCCCTTCCAGCTCCGTTATTATTCTGTTAATCAGAAATTGTGTGAGCTTCATCCCTGGAGGCTTTCAACAAGAGAGCTGACTGCCCTTTTGTCAGAAATGGCATAGGGGTCTCCTGCTTGAGCAGGGGGAGGGGTTGGTCTAGATGACCTCCAGGGTCCCTTCCAACAATTCTGTTATTCTGAAGAACTTGCCACCAGGAGTTGTGAATGCTCCATCCCCCTGGAGGCTTTCAAGGGGAGATGGGAAAGCCGTCGGTCTGAAACGTTGTAGGCTCTTCTGCTTGGGCAGGGGGGTTGGACTAGATGGCCTCTGAGGATCCCTTCCAAACTCTTGTCATTTCCTTATTCTTGGGAACGCTCCAACATCGGATCTTTTTTTTAAAAGA